TATATATATAATTTCAGTTAGTTCAATTTAAGAGCTTGGCACCAATGACCCTGTGACGCGGTAAAGAAAAGCAGGTAAAGAAAGTTGATGGAAGGATCAATATCTGACAAGAAGCACACTGTAGAAGATTAAAGACTGCATTACAAGCACAACACCATTTTGGAAGGGGTGGGCTGTCAATGTAAACAGTTTATCAGGCCTAGGTTTCTGCATAGAATTTTATAGAACTATTAGTTTTTTATTGGTTTCTGCTTATTAGAAACATGATTTATTGCAGATGGTTATACCTTAGTAAAATATATTTGCCTGACAATATGTACTAACAAGCATTTACATTAAATGATAATAATGGTTGTTAATAGCAAACTGTGTTTAACTGATGTGCTGAACTAAATTAACCAGGTCACCACATTCAGCTTCACCAGCTAARGACATTGTCCATTGAGATGTCCTCACCCAGAACAATATGGCTGCTCTCTCRGACCATGAAAAGTCATGGGATATATTATAATGAGAATTTAAGTCCTTTGAGTTCAAACTCCTCCCATATTCAGTTTAATTTTTGAATGAAAAGCATTTTGGAAGAACTGGTGACCCACTGAAAGGTCAAATCTTTTTATTGTCAGGTTCTGAGAAAATGTAATGAACAAATACAAACCCATTGTTATGTTTCYTCTGGTTTCATGTTTTTATTTTGACTTTATTCTGATTTTTCTGTCATGTTCCTCTGTTTTCTTCCTCCTGTCTGCCTTTGCTCCAGCCCTGCACATCACACCTGATCCTCATGTTTTCCCCGAGGTGTTTCCTGTCTGTGCTCATAAGTCTCACCTTTATATTCTGTGTCTTGTCTTCACTTCCCTGTCGGGTCATTGTTTGGTATTGTTATGTATTGTGCCTTGTCTTGCCACACCACTCTGAGTTTTTTGAGCTGCCCCGTTAGCACCTTTTTGTTAATAAATACTTTGTTTTTTGGAGCCTTTAATCAGCCTGCGCTATGGATTCTTTCCTGCCTGAAAATCATAACACTCATCTCCAAAAAGCTGGGTTCTTGTGTAGATTGTAAAAAAAAAAGAGAACAGTGGGTTGTGGAAGTTTGGGCAGCCTTGTTAATTTTCCTGATTACCTTTATAAATCATTGATAGTTTGGAGAAAAAAAAACAGTTAAATACATCATATGGGGGACAAACAGTGATATTTGAGAAGTGAAATGAAGTTGATATGATTCACAAAAAGTGTGCAATAATTGGTTAAACAAAATTAGGCAGGTGCATAAATTTGGGCACCATTGTTATTTTATTGATTTCAAAACCTTTAGACCTAATTATTGAAACTTAAATTTGGTTTGGTAAGTTCAGTGATCCAGCTGAAGCTGCTGAAGCCGGAGCTGGATCTTCCAAAAAGACAACGAACCTAAACATTGCTCAAAATCTACTAAGTCATTCATGCAGAGGAACAAGTACAACGCTCTGGAATGGCCATCTC